CCACAGAGCTTCGCTGAAGGACGATTCATTAGGATCGCTTACCAGTGAAATTACCACTCGTTCGCTCATTTATAGCAACGAGAAACCGAGCAGAGATCTATATCCACGATCGGAAGCCTATTAATGATCATAGTCCTTCTAAATCCGAAACAGAGTAAATAGAAGGAATTCGTAAGACATAGCGGAAATCGAAAACGTTCGTGGAAGTCCGCTCATTTCGATGATAACGAAGCAGGGAATTTCCGAATAAAACATTCGTAGAAGGCCGTCGATCACCTTTCGAATGACTAAGAATAAAAATAATCCTGATCCGGGAAATGAAGCTCGAATTCCGTTCAGATTGATACATGATAAAAAAGTGATCTAATCTGACCAATTAACACTTTCGCATTTAATTTGAAAGCTTTCCTAAAATCAGAAGTCGTGGATAATAAATTAAAATTCATAGCCGCATGCCGCGCGATTGTAGTATTAAAGAAATAAAGAAACAGAGGAAAAGTTTAAACAGTACAATGACACTGTCGTCTGTACTGTGAATAAAAAGTGTTTGATCAATGGGCAGAAACGCAACCGTACCGTGAAACTAAAACGAAAAAGTATTTCGGTACGAAATTCGAACGGCTCTTTCGCTTACAGTTTAATGTGAAACCCATTGAACCGATTCGAGATTAAACCTGCTCCATTATAAAGTAAGTAATGGTGGTTTTCAGTAATTTAAAATAAATAAAGGGCTCTAATTAAGAGTCCAAAACCTTACATTTTAATTTTCTTCTACTTTGCCTGAAGAGGCCATCTCCTCCCCAATTTATTATATTAATAATTCAGAGATGAAGACAAGGTTTATATAGAAAATATAAATGATTATTGTTCAGTGATTTCAAATAAATAAAAGGCTCTAATTAAGAGTCCAAACCTTAGTACATTTAAATTATCTTATCATTTTCTACTACTTTGTCTAAAAAGACGTTCTCTTTCCTGAATTATTAATATAATAAATTGGGGAGTTTTACATGGAAAATATAAATAATCATTTTTCAGTAATTTAAAATAAATAAAGAACTCTAATTAAGAGTCCAAACCCTTACATCTTAATTTTGTTCATTTATTTTCTACTACTTTGCCCGAAGAGGCCATCCCTTCCCCAATTTATTATATTAATAATTCAGGGAAAAGAACAAGGTTTACATAGAAAATATAAATGATTAATACTCACTTTGACTGTAGACAACACTGGCAATGACCAACAACACGAGCATTCCTCTCAGCCTCATGTTCAAGACGCGTCCGGCTTCCTTCAACTTCAATCCGTTCCGGCGCCTTTTGAACTCGCTCACTATTGCTGCTCGATGTATCAGTTCAAACCGCGACGTATCGACTATCGTTCAAAACAAAACTGTCCGCGCAATGTTCATCGAGTTACCGGCACGCGTCGAGCGACGTTCGCGTTAATTACTCGTGAACCGATGCCATCCCATTCAACGTTGCGCAGAGGGGAAAGAAAAAATATATGAATCGGTGCGGAGTGCGTCAACGAAGAGCGTAAATGCTCGGTCGTGTGCACGCCTTTCTTCGGCAAACGTGACTCTTCTCTTTCTTCCTCCCTTTTTTTTTCCCCTCTCACTTGTTCCGTCCCTCTGAATGGTGTACCCGTGAACCGGAGCGTACAGCACTTTCCACGAGTTTAGCCGTGAAGGAACGCGATAGAAATACCGTTTGATATACTGTTCTTTGGTAGATTAAAAGTGTATAGCTGGACAGTTCGCGAATCGGCACCAGAAAGTTTCAGAGAAATTTTGTCAGGCTCTGTTCCTCGATGTTTATCGATTCTCGAAAAATGTCTCGTCGATCGTGGATGATTCAATATTCTATGTCACTTCATCGGTGCTGTATCAAGGGTTGAGACGTAGTGACATCCGAGGGGTTGAAGTAATCGGATAGAAGCACGATATGACCGCGAGCCGCACCGTGTTGCGGTCCGCAAACGAATGCCACTGAAGTTGCCGCTCTTCCGAATTCCGTCGGCGCATAGGTGTGCGTGCGCCTATCCCCACTCCAACCGCGATTTACCCCCACCACTGGCTTCTCAGTTGCGCGCACCATCTTCCTTCCCCGTTGCTACGAATGCAGGAGATGTGCAGCATTCGATTAGCAATGGGGCCGATCTAATTTCAAGCTTCTTAAATTTATGATCCCCTGAAAATAAAAAACGATACTTTCTTGCCGATCGAACCTTCCAAAGATAAACGTAAAATAGTCACTTTCAATGCTTCAAATGCGTGTTACTATTGCATGCATTTATAATTGTAGGCTATTCGTTAAAGTTCCAGTCTTGGGGATCTGAACTGAAAATCCTGTTACAAATTAATTCAGTGCCTTTAGTATTACGCCTTCTTAATTAATATTTTTAATTTGAAAAGTGACAAGACGACATAACAAAAATAAAGATTATTTCAATAATTGGAATTATTATAGCTCTTTAAAAATAAATCTTTAATTAAAATGAAGAAAAGGCACTGAATTAATTTGTACACCTAATATTTTATGAATTATAAAATGATTACTTTAAAAATGATCTTACTATTGATTTCATGTATACGTATTGTTCCACACACGAGGCTAGTTTCATTCTTTCTCTACTTTCCGCCGGCCTCGAATCCGGTATATCCGCACTTCCTTTATCCCCACTATATCTAGCCAAACGCGTGTGCGGTCAATGCGTCAATTACATCTGAATCCGAAGGCGACGCATCGTGGGGATTATATAAAAATAAAATCTGCTGGCCGTTTTATCAATGAAATCAAGTTATGAGGGGAGTGTTTGGAATCCTTGATAATGTTTAATAAACGTGTTCTGATGCAACTTCTCGAGCCTGAAAAATGAAACAAGTATTACAACTCGTATTACTGATAATTTTCATTAAACATTTTCAAGCAGAACTACCGTATTATTGAAACGATCTACGCACATCCTGTACGTTACTTTTGCTTTGATTCCAAGGAACAACATTGCAAACTATTATTTCTCACGCTCGTGACGTGGTCACGTAACTTTTCCCGTTTAATCCGTGGAATAAGGCAATGATGTAACTTGGAACGTTTCGCACAGTTCGCTGGTCGCTTTTATCATTAGCCGGGAGGAACAAGCGTAGGACTCCGGGATTTATGAATGATTCGGACGAGTGAATGAACGAGGTTGACGCATGCGCGCTGCCTGTTCAGATTCCATTCCCATTCCGATCCCGCTTCTATTCTCATTGCTTTATCCTTTGCCGCGTAGGTACACACCATGAACGGGCACAACAGCTGTAGAATTCATAAAAAGAATCTACTCCGAGTGGGATCCTTATCGAGGAATGAACGTCGCTACGAAACGCGTCTTTCTTTGGTCGTTAAAAAATATTTGCACAACACCGTGGCGCGTCGGTACCGTCACTAAATTAGCCTGTTAGTTTGTATAATTCCTGGCTTGCCGCAAGTCTCGTTTTCCCTCTAGTCAGATAAGAAGGCTATTACCTTTCCCACATACCGTTTCGGTCCTAAACAATCAAACTTCTACGGTGTCTGAAATAATGCAGATATTTTTATATTAGGATTGTTTGTAACGAGAGATAAAAAGAAACATCTACGTTTTACCATTACGTATTTTCAGGGCCGGCCAGGAGATTTCGGGGGTGAGCCTCTTCACATAAAGTACCTGAAATAAAATTTATAAAATTAGCATTAAAGCTTGTATAACTAATTTAGATTAATATTCAAGTAAACATTACTCTTCTTGCATTCTTAGACACAAAATCGTCTCATGGGGGCCCTAGGCGGCCCCAGGGGGCCGGCCCTGCGTATTTTTGAAATTATAAAATCAAAAGCGTACACAGATTATCATTACTCACGTAGAAGATGAAATATACACAGATCTGTTTTTTAATGCTGTTCAGGTTCCATGAACCGGTAGTAGCGAGAGCTGCATCTTTACGTGGATTGTTAAGATACGATCGCTTTTGAAAAGTCCAGCTTTGGGAGATCAGTATCTCTTCAACGGAGTCTCCGCACAATTTCCCCGAAATGGCTTTCAGAGTGTTGGTATTCAAACAGGAATTACTCTCAATCTAATAATTTCATCTCTTGTTCGACAAGCAGCGTTGGTAACAAGTTTTCCATTATCCTATTCCAATACAATAACAAAACAATTTTATAATTCTTAAGATTGTACTCGTTGCTCCGGTTCGGTCGTCCAAATTAATTGTAAATGTATGTAGATTTTATATTTAAGATTCAAGAGGCGTGTCGCACGGTATCGACGTTCGATATTGAATCTTTCCAAGCTGAAGGGAGACGAAACGAGAAGAGGACACTTGTAATGTGTATAACGGTCACAATAGCAGGTTACAACTTGTCGGTACAAGCCGTGAACGGTGGGCTCCCTTTTTAAAATTCGCAGCTGACAGTCAAAAGGCGACAATGCCACTGAATATTGAAGGCATAGCTCCTTTGAAACATCATTCCTCGTAGTTGACCAACACGACAATTGTTGCGTTACGCTCTGACTTATTTATGAAGATATTTCTCGTGTAAAACAATATCATTTTCATCTTCCTTGGATGCGTTTCATTGAAATTTCTCCAGAAACCAGTAACAGAGTGTGATTTAATGAAAGTGCATACAGGCAGTTTCAAGATTCAAATGGAATCCTCTTTGAAAAGTCGATTTAAAGGATGCGTGAAATACGTGAGCATTCGTCGGAAGTCCAGATTTTACGGATTTCTTTGCGAGTCTTTGTGTGCGAGAAGGGTTTCCAATATTGTTCCCTGAAAAAGAGATGGAATCTTTAATTCTTTTCATCCATTTTTACATTTTCAAAATTGACAATAATTTAAATGATCCTTAACTCGCACCAGAATGTCTGGAACAATCTGTATATTAATTAAATTAATTACTACAATGATTGTTATAGGAAAAACATGTGGATCTATTGTGACGTGAGGATAATCCGAGAAAAATGTACCATGACCGCACACACCTGCCAGCTTAATTCATCCGCTTCTTTCCCCTTCTTTTTACACCCTCGCTTCTTAGCTTCCATTACACGTGGTTCTGCCTCTGCGAGGCGGAATGAAAGGGCAAGTGTTTGCCGAACAATCTTCCCCCGGTGGATAATGGTTAACCCAGAAACCCGTAATTTCGTCGATCGAATACTTCTTTCGCTTTCGAATAGTTCAAATATTTCCTTCCTCCTCTCCTTCCTCTTCTTCTGAAACTAGCAGCAAAATAGAATGATCTAAGAATAATTATAACAGCATTACTTTTTTACAATTTTTTTACAAAAAATTATTTATGCAGCCGTCTGCTCTCTTCTGTCCATAGAGCATTTATCAGGCGTACTTAATTACAAAGCCCGTAACACAATAAATAGAGGGGTCTTTGTGGAACGCCCTGAAATTATCGAACATCTGTTGCATTCGACCTTATCTAAATTGTTTTAACGCCCCTTCGGAACTTATTACGCTCGCCGCGTCAGAGACTCAACGAGTTTCCGAGGGAAAAAAATTCGCCAAACGAGATTGTTGAACTTTTACCGAAAATTTGAATGTCAGACATTCGGTCGCATTAATTAAGCTAATATGTGTCTTAATGAGGAAGAGGTCACGGTGAAGAACGCACCGTGACACAACTGTTCATTAAGGAACTCGACGGCCCGCGTTAATTGAAATGTTACTGACGAATTTGTTACCATCAGCATAAAATAACCTTTAGGCATTCTAATTAACCGGGCTCCCACGATAATTAAGCGAAAAATGTTTGGGAACCTTGTTGGGTTACATTGAACGTACGTGATTTTATTCGTGCATTTCAATTATACCAAAGTGACGAGAAAAAGAATCTTCTTGTAAATGTAATAGCAATTTAATACGATTTTAATTATTTTCAATGAACGACCCAATTTGCTATTCACCGTGTTTACATATTTTATGCTCTAGACAGACGTCGTAACAGCACTTCTCCCATTCGTGGCAATCCTCATCCTCGTCGCAAGAAATTGGCGGCATGTACCAATCGTAGCTTCGTGGACAATGGGTTCTCAACGGTGGACAATGCTTCTTGGTCTCTATTTCTTTTTCGATGTACACTTCTCGCCAGGGTAAGTGGAACGAAGGGGATTCCTCAGCGTTGGTCCACAGCAAAGGGTATAAGAAGTTGTACCAGACATATTCCATCCAACTCTCGCTTTTTCCCGATGGACAACAATAATATCGATCGTCCATGGTTTTGCACCAATATCTGCAAGATTTTCCATGGCTTTTAGTGTATCCTTCTATGGAACAAACGCAGGTGACGAAAAGTAACGTCAGGAACAAATGGCGCATCCTGGAACACTATAATATTTATAATTATTATTCTAGAATTTTTTCAGATTTTTTGCATAATGTTAAATAGGAGAAATAGGACAAAAACGGTAATTTCTATCCTTTCCTATAACAACCCTCCCGGTTGAGGTACAGGGCAACTTTTCCAATTTTTCTTTCCCTAAAAACCTTATTCGGACTATTACGAACATTTAAAAAAAAACTAGCCAAATCGGTCCAGCCGTTCTCAAGTGATGCGCTTACCAACGAACAGCATTTAATTTTTATTCGTATAGATAGAAGATAGTAATTGGTACACAAATTATTTTCTATTTAATAAATGTAATATTGATACAGTAATTAAGCATTGTTTTGTACTCACCCGCCTCTTAGCTTCTGTCTACAACTGGTACCGCGACGGACATTCTTATAAGACGCGGCAAAACTGTCCTTACTTAAAATCCCGTCACGGGACGGTTGTAAATTATTCCTCTTCTCGGGAGAATTAATTGTTTTTCTCGCTTCACAACGCGAAACAGCTAGAAATCCCATTTTCGGCGAACCGTCTAGGTGACAACTGCTGTGAATTAAGTGAAAAGAAAATTTAGTGATGTTTTGAGAAAGCCACTTTCTATTGAGAATGCTACTGTGCACGAGTCGTGATATATTATTCTACCTACAAGGTTGTGTATTAAGTCCTGAGTAAATCAATTTGTACGAACTTACTTGGTTATTGTTCCTTTTCCTTTTTCCATCGATGCATCTCAGATTTCTAGAATTTTAAATCGATAAAATTGATAAAACAAGTTGAAAATGAGTGCAGTTTAAACCGACATCTTAAGTCCAACTAATGCCAATTGTTACTGAAAAGTTACTAGAACTTAAAATCTAGTTACTAAATTCTGTATTTTTTTTTAAATCGTGGTTATGTCATTATTTTTATCATATAAATATTCTATTACACATGAAAATGTTGTTTAATATAAAAATATGATATTTATAAATGCATAATGAATAAGTTTAATTACTACAGTTTCGAATATCTTAACTATAATGTTCAGACATTGATGCTTCGAAAATGTTTAAATAAATATTTCTGAGAAATTGTTAAGGATTACCAATATCTACATATGAATTAGAGAATACAGTTGTCATTTTTTACATAATTTAACAAGTTTCCTTACCACAGTATCAATATTTCTTGGAATAAAAATTAAATGAAAACAACTTGCACAGGAACAAAAAAAGTTGAAGGCTTTGTAAATTTGACCAAGGAGAGCGCTGTATAACGGAAAGGTGTGTTGCAATTGGTTAAAATAAGAGAAACACTAGTTCGGTCAGTACCTTAAGTCACATCCACATGTAACTATTTCACAATGCACGACCGAGTTTCTCAACGCGTTTCTAAACGCATGTTCAGCGACGACACATAATGAAGAACAGTTACGGATGGTTACGAAGCGTCCTATCACACGTAGAGTTTCTTGACAACGAACGAATCAGAAATATCGGTGAATATTAGGACGCATTTGCCACATAATTCCCGTATTGCGCAGTGAATAGAATGCAAGCGTACGGTATTCAGAAATTTCTCGATAAAAGATGCAGAGCGGTGGTTAGCTAGTGTTGCATTGTTAAGCCTTCTCTATAGTGTTATTACATGAGTATGCGTACACAAGGAAATAGTGCAGTGCACTGAGGAGCGCGATTAAAATCGTGTTCGTCGTCGAATCATCGAATCGTGGTATAGTGTTTGTGGAGTGTCGTACGAAGGTCGTGAACTTTCGTAAGATTGTTCGAGAAGCTTGCGTACGGAAGCACACGTTACGAAAAGGTTAAAAGGAAAGGTGGACGATTCTCCGTGAAAAGCCTCGGTTAAAATGGCGGTGATCGGTACTCCGATTGGCGCTAAGCGATAGAAGAGGATCGCGCTCTATTCACGCTCGCCAAGTTTTGTTTTGATCTCGTTCGATAGTTAGCCTCACGGGAACCGGTCGATTCTCGTTCCCTCAAATTCGTTCGGGTTTTATTTTTTTTTTCCTCCCTCCCCATTTAGTACCGTGTGAAATTCTAATAAGCGTCTTGCTGGCGAAATATATCAAATCGAATCGAAGACGATTAAGGTGGTAAGAACCACCGACGGAACGGTTTCCGACGGCCGTGATGCCGCATCGTTCCGACCTCGAATTTATCGAAAGGCCGTACGACGAGGACGACTTTATCAAATCCTTGTCGGCTTATCTATAGGTAAGTTTTGCCACGAGTACCAATTTTTTTCTGCTTTCACCACCTTTATACATCGTACGATACGAATTTTTTAATTGATCCTCAATCCAACTTGTCATTTTACAGCTATATTCATTATCTCGAAATTCTTTATGCGCATATCGCCCCTTTGTTGTTGCTTCACACTCATCGAGCAAGCCTAGTTAGGTTAGGCCTTAGAAACCGATGACTCTGCATCTTGACGAGAATCCAGGTTGTTTTCGTTTCTATCATCTTTCTAACGGTGCAATCTTCTAGAACATCGATGCATTCGTTGCATTTTTCTTTTTTTTAACACTTTTTCACAAATTATTCTTTGTTTATTTTCTTTTCTTCGTAATCGTTCGTGTATTTCTTTATTTAGGTATTTTTTTTTTCTTAAATTACTATTTATGACGTAGATTGTACGTTTTGTTACGATTTGTCATGTTTTTGATCATTGTCGCGAGCTTTGTAACGTCATTGTTACTCCTTTTATGAATATTGTGTCTAAGATTACTGCATCTGTACCCTGATTTTTGAAATCAATACAAATTTCTTTGTTACGATATGTCGTTTCGTTAATAAATTATTATTTCAATATCTTTTTCGTTAAAATTATCGATGCCCAAGGATTTATTTATTAATAAGCATAATTCTATTTTTATCTCCAGAAAACCATATGGACATTTTTTGTAACTGATTTTTATGTAAAAAAATGTTTTTATTTTTATACACTAATTTACTATTACATTGTAATTGTTTTGTTTAATATTGTCTATGATGTACGAAATTTGTATGTTTAAAAAAAAAACCATTAAATATATACACCTACCAAAATATTATTTAAGAATATAATCAGAAATTTTGTACTATTGTGTAGAATTAGTATTGAATTGTTATCAATTAATAATCTTGTTGCTTTTGTTGAAAATAATTGCATTAATATTGTGTAAATTTATTTCACATTTGTTTCATCATATCTTGACATACATAAAAGAAAACTGATAATTTTGTGTGAATGAATGGTAAAAAATATTTATCATCAATTATATGTTAACAGTTATGCAATCATTTTTACTTTAATGATTTGTTTAATTTAGGAAGATTTAATAAAATAAGATCAAATGTTAATAATATATATGTATATAGCGATTAAGGAAACATGATTTCATTTAATATTAGTAAAAAAATTATTGTGATATCCTTACATCCATGAAGTTTCCTAACAACACAAATTATATGTAAAATAATGTTTCAGATTTTAAATTTACAAAGGAATCCTTAACCTGCCAAAATGAAAATTGATAGAAATAAATTGAGGAAGTACACTTCTGTACCCGTAAGTAATACTTGTTTAAGGGTGAAGAAAATAGTGTTAACTAAAAATAAAAGATACAAAATGTTACAAATGAATAAATTTTCAGCCCGCGGAATGCCAGGCTCTTATAAGCAAGTTGCGCTCTTGCTCCCACGCAGAGCTGCTGGAAGAGCTGAAACAAATAGATGCTTGGACTTTTGGTAAATGCGAATTGTTTCATTGGATCGATGTGTTAGATCTAAGCGATAGTATTTTGGAGGAAGCCGCAACAAAAAGTCCAGACAATCCATGGGAGCTAGCCTGCGATCTCCCTCAGAATAGAGAGGTACAATTATTCTATAATTTTTATTGTTACATAACTTTAATTAAAAGCAAGGAATGATGATATAATATTTATACAACCGTTTACAGGCGAAAGAGCTTCTTCTATGGGTTCTCCATCTTACAACATTGGTCATTGAGCATTCGTACTCTCGGCATTTGTACAACAGTATGGAGCATCTTGTAACATTGTTATCAAGCTGCGACATGCACGTTGTACTTGGCGTACTAAACATCCTCTATATGTTTAGTAAACGTAGCAATTTCATTGCACGTTTGAACAATGACAAAAGGCAAGCGCTGTTAAGTAGACTCAATCTTCTTGCGGAGAGTTGGGGTGGTAAGGAGAACGGATTTGGTTTAGCTGAATGTTGTAAAGAATATCCGGACAAACCGCTTCCGGCGAGTGCCACGACGCTGCATTTCGAATTTTATGCGGAAAATCCAACGACAGATGCGTCGAATACCACTTCGAGTAGCGGTACTAAGAAATCTGGGCAAACGAATCTCGTAACGTGCATACACATAGAGAACGTAGACAAACTTGGTAAAACACCGGCACAGATAATGAATGATTTATTAAAAGTCTATAACGTACCCCAAGATCGACAGATCGCGCTGTTCACACACATAAGGCTGGCGCACAGCTTTTCTGATTACCGTAGACGCTTGCAGTGTGTACACGCCCGGTTGCAAGCATTATCGGTACTTGTATATAATAGCGAACTGGAGGAGAATGCACGTTGTTTACTGCATCCTGGATTATTAGAAGAGTTAGTTGAATTGTTGGAACTTCCACACGCACATCTCGTTGAAATTCGTGCAGCAGCACTGCGAACTCTTACTAGTATTATACATTTAGATCGTAACCCACATTTTCCAAAGTAAGCAAAGATTTTATAATTAGATAATAGAAATCATTAATTTCATCGGTGCTAAATTGATTTATTTATTTTTCAGAAAACCTGGCTCGAGGTTAAACATGATCATAGACGTCACTGGAGCTAGCTCCTATCACGGATTTCTTCCTGTATTAATTCGCACTTGCATTACGTCGTTAATTTCACCGCAATCCGATGGTCAACCTTTTCCTTTGTCTCTCGTAACAGCGTTATTCAGCTTTCTTTATCATCTAGCAAGTTACGAAGCCGGAGGCGAGTCTCTCGTCAGCTGTGGAATGATGGAAAGCTTATTAAAAATCATAAACTGGCCTGGAAGCGAGCTGGAACACATAACGGTAAGATTTCACCAGCCTTTTGTTATTATATCGCACATAAATTTCTATAATAATCGTGTTACATATTCGATCAATTCAATTCCAGTTTGTAACAAGAGCAGTTCGTGTGATAGATTTAATAACGAACATAGATATGCAAGGATTTCAAGCACACGGTGGCCTACAAAGCTTCATTAATCGACTCGATATGGAGGTGAACATTTGCAGAAAGGAGCAACCGTTTGAAATAGAACCGTCGCATTACCAGGACAGCCCGCAGATTGCTCGCGAACGATCTATAGATCGCGAGGAGAATCCTGCGACCTCCCGTCGCATGAACGAAGCGTTCGACGAACGCGAGGAATCCTCTAATCCTCCTATGGAGTTTTCCGAAGACGAAAATATGAGCTCTAAAGCGGACGAGAAAAACGAACAGATACCAGATTATTCGGCGTTGAAGACTGGAAAGACCTGTCTGCCTCAACGTGCTGCGGTTTTAAAATCAATGTTAAATTTTACAAAGAAAATTATTCAAGACCCAGCTTTTTCCGACAGCATCAGACACGTTATGGAAGGCACTTTACCTTCTTCTTTGAAACATATTATTAGCAATTCAGAGTATTACGGGCCTTCTCTGTTCCTTCTCGCGACGGACGTCGTAACCGTATACGTCTTTCAAGAGCCTTCTTTGTTGTCGTCTCTTCAAGACAACGGATTGACCGACGTTGTGTTACACGCTTTGCTCATTAAAGAGATTCCAGCCAGTAGGGAAGTTCTGGGATCGTTGCCTAACGTGTTCAGTGCCCTGTGCTTAAATCAACGAGGTCTGGAGTCATTCGTGAAGCGACGCCCGTTCGAGCGCTTATTCAAAGTACTGTTATCACCGATGTATCTTCCCGCGATGAAACGACGTCGGAGCACGGATCCTTTGGGCGACACGGCTTCGAACCTGGGCAACGCGATGGACGAATTGATGAGACATCAGCCGAGCTTGAAAGTCGACGCGATCGCCGCGGTTATAAAGCTGTTGGAAGAGCTCTGCGTGATGGGCTGCGATCCACGTTACATCTGCTTGCAAGCCGAGGATAAATTCGACAGTTCGCAGTCGAATTCGAATTCGGGGAGTCGCCAATCCTCTGGACAGTCCGTTGGAGTTGGTGTGGGAGATTCGGGTGGAGGAGGAGGCGGCGGAGGTGGAAGTAGCAGCGACGAGGAGGAAGACGACGAAGAGGAAGCCAGTACGAGCTCTCACACCCAACGCGAAGAACAGTCTTCTTCGTCCTCCGCCCAATCTGGTCCACCACCTCAACCTAGGGAAAAAACACCGATAGCTTTGATGGAATATATACAGAATGTTACAAAGTTCGTTGATGCTATTCTCAGCAATAATTCAACGGACGATCACTGCAGAGAATTCGTTGCCCAAAAGGGCCTCGTACCCCTATTGTCAATTCTTGGACTGCCCAATCTTCCAGTGGATTATTCAGTCGCCCAGACAGCTCAGGCTGTGGCTTCAGTTTGTAAAAGTATCTTGAATCTTGCCCGCGAACCGCTGGTCTTGAAAACTGGCCTGTCTCAATTAAACGAGGTTTTAAATTTATTGAAACCATTGTACAATTACATGGAAGCTCCAGGAGGATCTGTTCTATTGCACGAACTCGTTTCTGCTCCGAATTTGGAGACAGCTTTTACCAGCGACACAGCGACACCTTTGCTTCACGCTATGAACGCCGCTTATGGCTACATAATAATGTTCGCTCAGGTGTGCCGCACCAGTCAAAGCGAGATCAGAAATTTAGCCATGAACCACTGGGGATCAGAGCTGGGTCTCACGGTTTTGAAAGGTCTCTCAGAGTTGTATACAGCTCTGATTTGGGAGAGCACAGCGTTGTTGGCGCTCACGACAGAAGATTTTATCCCATCTGGATGTGATTTTGGAAAGGAAGATATGGATAAACTGGTGCCACCTGAATCGAAGACCGAGGGAGAGAGTTCTGGTTGGTCCGGCGCTGCATCCTCAGATATGGGAAGCAACGGAATGACGACAGCTATGGAAGCTCTGAGCACAGATCCACCGCCAGTCCCTATGGAGGTGGACGAGAAACCAAATCCTACTACAACTGGAAGGGCATCTCCGAGTTCTCATCGATTCGCGTATCCTAAACACTTGTTGGGACTCACGTCTAAAATGGGCAGAGCATTGGCTGAACTGTTCGCTATTCTCGTAAAGCTTTGCATGGGTTCCCCGCTCAGGCAACGCAGGGGACAACAGATGTCTTTGATACCGGCTCTTCCTTCGCAAGCAGCGAGGAGTGTAGCGACTGCGTTGAATTACGTACTGATTCGTGGATTATCATGGGACAAGTTACCACCGTCAACAGTGCCGAAACTTCAAGTGACCTTCTTGATGTGCACCCTCAGCTTTGTACCCCCTGCGTTGTTCGATGAGAAAGGTTATCCGTTTCACCTGATGCTCCAGAAATTTGTTAAATTAGGCGGACAAAATGCGTTCTTTGCGTAAGTTTTCAATACTAATTCGACAAATACAGGGCAAAAGTAAGTAGACACTATTCAAAATAGAATACCTCGGTTAAAATTGGACTAAATAGCTTGGGGTTTTTTGAGAAGCTATAAAAATTAATTCACTAAAATATGTATTTTCATTATTTTAAAAAATTACAATTTGTTGAAATCGTGAAAGAAAATAGTTTTTATGTAAGTCTATACTGAAAATTTAAAACATTAGATGAAAAGTTATCATTCACTATTTTTTTCACGATTTCAATAAATTATAATTTTTTGAAATGATGAAAATACATATTTTAATGAATTAATTTTTATAGCTTCTCAAAAAACCTCAAGTTATTTAGTCGAATTTTAACCGAGATATTCTATTTTGAACAATGTCTACTTACTTTTCTCTTTCACTGTATGCTGTTTAATTAATTTTTACATAATCTAATTATGAGTTATTTATTTTCAGTGCTTTCCATTGGGTACTATCAGGAGGAGGGCAATTTCCCTTAGCCGAAGGATTGGAACATCCAAACTTACCTGATTGCACTGGAGAATTCTTAGACGGTTGGCTGATGATCTTAGAGAAAATGGTGAATCCCAAAACTTTGCTAGATTCACCTTACGTTGTTTCTCTAAAATGCACCGGAATATATAAAGTGTACGAAACATTCGACCCGATCAAATATCTTACCGAAATACACAAAGAGGCTTTCGAAGCAGTGATGCTAATGTGGGGAAAGAAACCATTGAAAAGCTATGGTGCCCACATGACAGAATTAATCCTATCCATTTTACGGCACATTTTAAGAAGCGAACAGATCATCAAGGAACACGCTCAGAAAGAAGAAAATACCGAAGCAGCGATCTCTGGTAGCACCAGTGGAACCAGTGGAATTGCAAGAGCTGGAACGATATCCGACAGAGAGGAACTGGAACCGGACGTGAATCCAGAACATCTTAGACAACTGATGGATATGGGCTTCAGCAGGGCTCATTGCATAGAAGCATTGCTCCATACCTTAACCGTTGAACAAGCCACAGATTACCTTCTGACTAATCCTGCCACCTTACGCAGATCGGATGTCCCAGCAGGCGATGCGAGCGGACAAGACCTGATAATGGACCTGGAATTGGTAGACGACGATCAGATAATGCACGCTATAGCGATGTCTCTTGGAGAAACGGAAACGAAGAAAGTATTCGGTTCGGAAGAACCAACTCGCGAGACTACCATAACGGAAAGCATAGACGAATTCACTCGCAGTGCTTTGACTCAGTGTTTGAACCTATTGGACCTCATGCCTGATACTGTATACAGAATCTGCGACCTACTAGTCGCCATTGCTAAGAGAAACGGTGACGAATGGCGCGATAACATGCTGCGACAACTGATGAAGGAAATAGGCAGTCTGATAGATTATCTGATTGGGATCGCTGAGAGTCAAGATCCAAGTGCTGGCGCGCGACTGGTAGAATGCGAGGAGGCTAACAAAGTTACTGGACGCATCTATCTGTACACCATGTTCTTCGAGGGAACGTTCCAAGAGATGCGAGTACCGTGCGCTCAGATTGTAGAGGAATATGCTATCTTGAACAAACTAGTGCGTTTGTTGGTGTTGAGCGAGGGTCCACTGACGGCGAATAAAAATAGAATCATCAAAGAGGGTAACAAAGACACACCTGCTGCGAAGACACCTAAATGGTTGGCACCTTTGTTGCTGCTTATTGAACGTCTGGAGAAAGTAGCGATATTAAAGAAACGAAAGGAGTTCATGTATAAAATAACAAACAGAATGTGGAAGTGGTTCGATCTGAGTACAGGAAGGTGGACATGGTATTCATCTGTGAACAATAGGATCATCAATGATGCATATTGGGCTGGAGAATCCAGTACCAGGGTAACGTGCAACAAACGAAGATACGTGATCAACTTTTCTTCCATGACTCAAGTGAACGAGGAAAGCGACAACAGGAGACCCATAACCATGGGCTTTAAATTACACATGGGTAACGAAGATGGTGGTTCCGGGTCCGACACCAACATGGACACCGATGAAAATCGAATAGACGATAAAAGGAATACTGTTCTCCAAGGATTGGACCCCAGCATGGCTCCAGGCATAATACGCGCCTGTGTCAAATTAATGGCCATTCCTGTCGACCGAGATGCCTTGCACGCCTCTATGAAAGTGTGTCTGCGGTTCACCAGGGATTACGAGAACGCGGAGATATTCGTTCGCGAGGGCGGTGTGAAGCTTCTGTTAGAGATGGCCGAATCGAGTAGCTTCGCTGGTTGCATCAATCTATGCACCCTTCTGATACGCCACGCTTTGGAGGAGCCGAGGACCCTTCGCCAGACCATGGAGAAGGTGATCCGCAGTCGCACCCAGGGTAACATACCACCGGCGTGCAAGGAGATCCTCTTCATGACTCGCCAGATCAACAGCGCTGTCTGTCGCAACCCGGAGGTTTACAGAGAGGTCTGTGCCAACATTCTAAGAGTCGACATTAGCTTGTTGAGGAAAGAGGATGGTGATAACAGGTTGATAGTAAAGGCTCTTCCACCCAGCCATACATTAGCCTTGCCCATGGTGGAAGAAGCCTCCATATCCGTGGTCAAGGATCTCCTGAACGCTCTTATAAAACCAACGCCGGTCACCTCGGACGATAAATCCTCCACGCCCACCAGAAGCCCGGAGAAGAAGGCGTCTTACTTAAATTCCACCGTGGAAACCTCTCGACGAGATGTCCTGAGGAACAATGCTACTACAACGAATGACACTCTCGACGAGGACGATCAAGTCTCTCAGATAATCCCTATGAAGATCTACCCAGAAACCAGCGGTGTCGCTAAAGCCGAGCCAGAGGAGGCAAAGAAACCTCTGCTGGCGAAGTCTGCTATTCTGAAGATACTTGCCGAGGCTGTTCGTTCGTACAGCGCGGTGGCGGGTTTGATTACAGAGCACATGTACAGAGCAGGGCAAAGTGAAATGGTTACAGAGGACACCACAGCTCTTGCCTTTCTCCTGGACAAACTTTTACCCATGTTGCCAGAGAATTCCAACGATAAACAGTACAACATGGCGAGGATGCTGATAGCTGCGATCGCCTCTTGCAATCATTCTCCGGATGCTCAAACAATTCTGGTCACCGAGGTGAAGGCAGCCTTGACGAGAACCTTGGCTCTTCCTGAGAGCTCTGAGAAACATGCCCAGCTGCAATTATTGATCGGTTTGATCTCCACCATGATTGATAGCTGTCCACCGACTCCCCATAATCCATTGAGAGCTTCCTTAAAGGTGCAGCAGTGCAACAATGTCAATTACATTGTCAGAATCATGTTGAGGAAGGGGATAATAACTGATCTGGCAAAGATCCCTCATAGTCTTGACTTATCCAGTCCTAACATGGCTGGTACCATTAATGCTGCTTTGAAACCACTCGAGACGCTTTCTCGAATCATAAACCAACCAATGCCTGGTGCTGTTAACAATAAATACTCAAAACCGAAAAGCAGGACCGTTCAAGAAGAGCCTATTGGCGAACAGACAGGAACCACTACGTCGGAGGCGACGCATGCGGTCGGCGAGGAGACAAACGAGGACGCTGAAAACACGGAACACGATATATCCGTCACTGCTGAGAGCCTCGAGCCTACGTCCGAGAGCCAGGTGCACGAGGAGGCTGTTCTCGAGGACATCATGGATCAGCTTCTCGAAAGGTACTGATAAATAACGTGAATAGAATAGAAAATGAATAATGTAAATAAATATTAGCATTCTAGGTTCATGTAAGCTGCTGTACTTATAATCAAGCAGTGTACTGTTTTCCAGGGACGGATCTGGCGTGGCGGAGGACCAGTCCTCGCGGCCTCACAGACCCATGGACATCGACGACGAAAGTCTCGCGATACGGGACGGGGAGGCTGATTTCGACCCGACGCGGGACGCAACGATAAGAGAGGATCTTCTGAGCTCCGACTCGGACTCGGACAGCAATCCATCCGACGACAACGAGGACGAGGTACAGGACGACGAGGACGAGGAGGAGGAGGAGGAGGACGACGGCGAAGAGAACGAGGAGGAAGAGGAAGAGGAGGAGGAGGAATCGTCGAATTACGAGGAGGATGGGATCGAATTTTACGAGGATGTCGGCGAAAGCGGTGTATTCCGTATGTTCCCGTCGACCGAGCGTGAGGGTAGCAATGTCGTGATGATTCGGCACAATATTGATAATCAGGACAATGTAAATACATCCGCTACGGTAACACCGCGATCTAGCCTTCCGTGGAATACAACGTTTCCTTTACCTTTGGGCCTGTTCGAGGACCCCCCCTCGGTATCCGAGAGCAGCGGTATTAATTCCCATCCACTGTTAACACCACAGGGCGGTTTGGACGCCGGCGGTACGAGGGCTCAGAGGGCTCTGCGGCCGCGTAGGTATCAGTACCTTCAGATACCGAATTCGCGGAACCCGAATCCACCGGTAATACTGCAGAGACTTCTAGGACCAGCTGCCCAAGCGCTTCCTTTATCCGCCAGCCAGGTTCTGGCATCCAGTTTCCGGGACACCCGCGTCGTCCTGATGGACAACGGTCTTGGAATATTAACGAACCAAGAAGAGGAACAAATAGACCTTGTGGATCAGTCTGGTTATCTACTGGGACCCAGCCTAGCAGCCACCTTAAACAGTACCCCGACCGCTTTACATTGGTGGATAGAGGAGAGCAAATTACTGGATGGAGATTCTCAGACGGACTGCTGCATGGGCGTTGTGTACAAACTGATCCCCGGATTGGAGAAGTATAGGAATGCTGAACTAGCTGAACGAAGGGAGAGACGTAAGAAGCAGCACGCTTCTGAGAAGAAGAACGAGAAGGATGGGAAGGAGGGGAAGGATCATTTGAATAACACAGAGTCTGGCTCGTCCACCGTGATACCCATGGAAGAACAGATATCAACCGCATCGACGTCCCAAAGAGAGGACATAACCGACTTCGTTCCCAGATTCGAAACTTGCGTCGAAACGACTCGACCTGAACGCACACCGGACGAGGATATAATCGACGTAACCGGAGAGATGGACGCGACTGTTCAAGAGGACGAGGAGCGATCGCCTCCCCCGCCCCCCGAGGAACAGCCCTCAGAACCTAGAGACCCTCGAATAACTAACAGAAACCCAACTTTGGAACTTGCCGAAAGTATAGTCGATTCTGTGCTTGGACCGTGCGCTTCTGTAGCGAGTAGACTGAGACAGTCCGAACGCATCGTTGAAGGATCCAACACGAACGATACGTCCAATCGTTCCAACACCTCCATAGTGGTAGATTTCAGTCAAGAGGCTAACGAGGACTTGTTGAGAGAAATCGATTGCTCCGAATGGATCCGAATTTTCACCGACGACAGTCAGTCGAACGTCGAACGAAACGCTAACGTGGTGAATCAAGATCCAACCACTTCCACGTCGGGCACTGTTAACGCAGAGGCGTCGGAACAACCGCAGCAGTCCCAGGAGCAAGCTCAACAGCAACCGGAACAAGCACAGCAGTCGCAGGAACAGCCACCGCCGCAGCAACAACAGCAACAGCAACAGGTCCAGCAACCGTCTCAAGAACAGCAATTGCCGGATGGAGTGGATCCATCGTTCCTAGCTGCGTTGCCAGAAGACATGAGGGACGAAGTTATAGCTGAACAGCTGAGACTTCAACGAATCAGGCAACGGGCGCAGGCGACAGTAGTTGAAGAATTAACAGGACCCGTGGAAGTGAATCCCGAATTTCTTGCCGCTTTACCTCCGGCCATTCAAGAGGAGGTTCTCGCCCAGCAACGCTTGGAGCAACAACGACACGCGGCTGCGAGCGCGAACCCTGAGGATCCGGTTGACGCGGCCGCGTTCTTCCAGAATCTACAGCCTGCTCTTCGACAGGCGATTCTGACCGACATGGAGGAATCGCAGATATCGGTCCTTCCGCCGGATCTAGCTCAGGAGGCTCAGAATCTTCGCAGGGAATGGGAGGCGAGGAACAGGCACATAATGCAGGAAAGATTCCTCAATCATGTTAGCCAAGGGAACACCACCTTGTCCAGTATATTGAGGACCTCCGGTAGGCGTACAGGGGGTGGTACTCGTTTCGCGATTCACACGGTAGCGCAGAGAGGGCAGTGGGAGCCGTGGAACACCCGTTTCGATTCTGGTATAACGCATCAAGGAGCCAGTCTGAGACTCAGAGGCAGGCAGTTGTTGGATCACGAATCCATGGCCTGTGTGTTGGTGTTGTTGTTTGTCGATGAACCGAAAATTAACACTCTCAGGCTCCATAGGGTTATCAGGAATCTTTGCTATCATGGCAGCACTAGGGAGTGGGTGGTCAGAGCATTGCTGAGTATCATGGAAAGAAGTAACGATGAGAACAAAGACATAGCCATGGACTTTGGTGGGAAATTTAGAAGGAAAAGCTTGGTACCTATGATGCACCACGATTATTGGTAAGGACCTTCCTTTATTTATTTTTAATTTAATTCGAGTTGAATGATTAATCATTTGTTCCTTCTCTTTTCTTTCAGTGCTCCTAAAATTTTTGACCAAAGAAGTAATGCACAATCATGGTTGAACATTAGCATTGATGCTGCATTAGGATGCAGAGCAAATGTTTTCCACATTGTAAGACACGGTGGTAAGAAATCAGAGAGACAAGGTAGTAGTATTGCCATTCATCCTCAGGCAGCGCCCACAGTATGCAGGTAAATTAATTAATATTTTCATCAATTGAAAATTCGTGTGTTATCTTGAGATACAATTATCTGTATTTTTACAGACATACATTGGAGCTGCTGATATCGTTGGCTAAAGGCTTTCCCGGTTATTTTGTGCCAATCAAATCTAAGGAATCAGACGAGAAAGAAAGTAACAAGGACAAAGACTCGTGTAACAAAGAGGAGGCTGGTTCGAAGAGTAAATCCACGTCCAAACCAGGGAAAAGCGATCAGCCAGATTTCTGGGACATGCTGTTGAAACTAGACTCGTGTGCCTCGAAGAAAGGAAAGTCTGTCGCTAGATCGCATTCGAATACGAATTTAGGAAACGATTCCGAGCACAGTATGACTACCTTCGAATCGTCCGCATTCGGTCAATTAATATCCATGTTGAATTGGTCCGTTATTAAACGCAGCAGTCAATTAACGGATAAACTTTTGAGACTGCTATCACTGATCTCCATTGGACTGACAGAAGTGAATCCTTACTGTAGACAGGAAGGAAATAAGAACAAGAGGATGGAGATGAACAAAGAACAGAGCATCGCTGCTCCTGAGGAACATCTCAGATTGGCTGTTCAAGTTTTAACCAGCAAGAGTTGTTCAGAGGAAGGGTTGGAGGATGCAACTGCTTTGTTGCTCAATTTGTCTTACTGTCCTGATCCTACTAAACAATTAATACTGAAATTATTATTGGAAGGCGCTATGGAATTGGCCAATGTCGTTTGCGAGCATATAAAGGATCTAATGATGGAGTTGAAGGTCTTGAATCGTGAACTTAGACGAAATTCTATGGAGGAACAACCTTCGACCAGCAGCGGTGGTTCCCGAGGAATTCTTTTAGATAGGTTTACAAACGAGAGCGTAGTGGTCACTGCTCCGAGTAAAGTTAAAGCTGGAAGTGATCTTCAGTTACCATCCATGGCTGCCCTTGTTAGCAAAACTTCTAGTCAGGCATTCTTCTTAAGAATACTTAAAGTGATCGTACAAATAAGGGAAGCTGTGCGCTTAGCGAATAATAAAAAGACAGGTACATCTGCAAACAATTTTATCGTTAGCATTATCCTTTAAAGAAATAACTAATTAAAATTTAATCTTATAGCTAACCAAACTTCAGAAAGTTCTGTAGATACTGGAAACACTAATCAATCTTCAGAAGGAGGTAACTGTTGTGAAATTTTTGTAATTCAATCATCCATAAATTAAGAAAATAAAATATAATGTGGAATTCTTTTTTGATAGGCGAAGAAAAGCTTCCATTATTAAGTGAAAGTTTAGTACTGGATCATTTGTGGGAGACACTTAGCGCCTGTTTATTGGAATTGGAATACACTCCAGATCATCATGCAGTTCTAGTTCTGCAGGTAAGATGATTAATTACAAATTTTTTAATCTTCACTCTTGGGATTATCTAATCGTATATTTTATTATATTTTACAGCCCGCGGTAGAAGCATTTTTCTTGGTTCATTCATCATCGAGTATTTCTCGTGATCGTCAGATAAATACAAATGCAGACAACAGGGAGGTTATTCCCGATCTAGCACCAGTTTCACCTATATACTCAGACAACGAAGGTACATCCCAATCTGAGGCTACTATTAACACTTCATGGGATATGACACCTCCGCCACAGAAGACTCTTCCACCGGACCAGCTTAAGTTCCTCAAATTTGCCGGTATAACATAGTCCTTAAATTTCCTTAATATAAAAATTAATAAGCATAGAAAAATTAATCTCATATATTTTCATTACAGAAACGCACAGAACTGTCCTAAACCAAATCCTTCGCCAAACCACCACGCATTTAGCGGATGGACCATTCTCTGTGTTAGTGGATCACACCAGAGTTCTCGACTTCGACGTAAAGAGACGATACTTCCGTACAGAGTTGGAACGAATGGATGAAGGCATTCGTAGGGAGGAATTAGCAGTGCATGTTCGTAGGAGTCATGTGTTCGAAGATTCATTCCGGCAACTTCATAGGCGAAATGCTGACGAGTGGAAGAATCGGTTCTACATCGTCTTTGAAGGTAAATTAAATCTGTAACAAATAGTATTACATGTTAGGATTGTTCTTTGACGTGTATTTAATAAGGATGTACCCGATATTACGAACTCGACCGGGTGCCTGACTATTTCGGGTCAGTTCAGATAAATTCGGGCAGATTCGGACGAGCTCCCGCGATCCAACTCTCGTATACTTGTTAGTGCTTGCAATAAGCATGTTCAAAATCTATTTTGAATGAAATTCATTTCAAATAAATTCACTTTCAAGTATTATTTTTCCACATAAAACAGATTTTGCACATACTTATTGCAATAAGAATTAGGACGCGGCCCGCGGGAACTCGGCCTAATCTGCCCGACTTTATCCGACCGAGCCCGCCCGATGTTTCCCGAACCAACCCGAATAGTTCAAAACTCAACTATTTAAAAATTAATGATGCTTCATTGTAGGTGAGGAAGGTCAAGACGCTGGAGGATTACTCAGAGAATGGTACGTCATCATTTCCAGAGAAATTTTCAACCCTATGTATGCTCTGTTCACTGTGAGCCCCGGCGATCGTGTAACATATATGATAAACTCTTCTTCGCACTGCAACCCTAACCACTTATGTTACTACAAATTTGTCGGTCGAGTTATTGGTAAGTTTTTTCTTTCCTGCTATATTAGAAAAATGTTTATATTATATCCCGTTTTGTAACTAATATTGATAATTATTCCTACAGCTAAAGCAATCTACGACAACAAACTTCTAGAATGTTACTTTACGCGTAGTTTTTATAAACATATTCTGGGAATATTGGTAAAACATACCGATATGGAAAGCGAAGACTATAGCTTTTACAAAGGTCTTGTATATCTCACTGAGCACAACATCGCTGATCTTGGATACGAATTAACGTTTTCCACAGAGGTACATTTTAATATTTCTTTAATTTATTTATTACTACGTTGACGAGTAATTATTTTACAATCTGTATAACATTTTTAGGTTAATGAATTTGGTGTTAATGATGTACGAGATTTAATACCAAACGGACGTAACATCGTCGTCACCGAAGAAACGAAACTAGAATACATTCGGCTCGTTTGTCAAATGAAAATGACCGGAGCTATTCGTAAACAGTAAGTAAAATAAATTAGAGATAGATAAAGTGATTATTACAAGATGTAATATTTTCTGTTTCTGTTTATAGGTTAAACGCGTTCCTAGAAGGTTTTTACGATATTATTCCGAAACGACTGATCTCTATATTCAATGAACAAGAACTTGAGTTGTTAATTAGTGGGTTACCTAATGTAGATATCGAAGATCTTAAGGCCAATACTGAATATCATAAGTATAGCGCAAACTCTCTACAAGTATGTATTCCAATCATTCAAACATATTCATAATATTGATTTAAATTGATAAATCAATAATGTTATATCAAACATTATTTTTTTAACTTAGATCCAGTGGTTCTGGCGGGCATTACGTGGTTTTGATCAGGCAGACAGAGCTAAATTTTTACAATTCGTTACCGGAACTTCAAAAGTACCGCTGCAAGGTTTCGCTGCTTTAGAAGGAATGAATGGTATACAGAAATTCCAAATTCACCGTGAAGATAGATCTACAGACAGACTTCCCTCGGCACACACATGGTAGATATTGCATATACAATTTATTTTTTACTTAAAAAATTTCCTTAACAAATATTTCACGACACATATCTTTTCTCCCTAGTTTCAATCAACTGGATCTACCCGTTTACGAAACGTACGACAAGCTTCGCACGAATTTGTTAAAAGCGATCCACGAATGTAGCGAAGGATTTGGTTTCGCCTAAATTTCTGCAAAGTTGAGCAGTTTGCATAATTTTGCATGAAAAATCTAAGAGCGAAGGGAAAAACAGAGGGAATCATGAAGAACACAGAGGAAAGAATTAAAATCCAGAGAAATGATTGTAAAAGTGTCGATAAGAATAATGTTTTTGATCTTCGCTCAAGATCTAGTATATAAATGTTTACTCCGCTATATACATATTAAAACTAAAAGCGTATGTATATACGTAAAATTAACGATGTAATTACCGATTACCGTCGCTAGAGTTTATTTTGTTGAACGATCATAAAAAAAAAAGAGGAAGACGCAGAGCTTAACGATAATTTCCGATGAAAGGAAAAGAAAACTTAATCGGACACTTTAGTTAAGGTCCCTAAACGGTTAAGAAAAATAACATATAAAGATTCAATGTAATTCATCCTTAAGAGAACGCAGCGGGCTGAAATAAAACATGTAATATAATTGCGACTCGAAGCTGCTCTCCTCTTTGAACAAATTCGAAAAGAGAAAAAAAAAAAGAAACAAATTATTGCCGAGACGGAAAAGCAGATGGAAGTGTGCCTGTTATTTCCGAGTATGTGTTTATTTCCTTATATTATGCGTGGCAGGAAAAAAGAAAAGATAAAACAGCAAGCAACCTAGAATACGTGAAGAAACCTTGTGTAAACGTGTTGAAATGTATTGTATGGAAGCGCGAATACGTGTTGTATGTATATGTACGAATGATAGAGAAAGTAATATTATTCAAGAACCGATTAGACACGAGCCTAAATACGAGAAAAAAAAACATTTCACAATGTTATATCCTTAACGCCCGCAAGAAAAAGAAAAAATAACGTATGGTTGTACACTATTAGTATTAATATATTATCTAATTCTTAACCGATAGTAATAATCATTAATTAATATCTTTTTAATATTAATCATTTAAGAAATGTGATGTTAAAAAGGAAGTCATGTAACATTTTTCCTTTTTTTCTTTTTTTCCTACAGATATAGGATAGCGCAAAGTCACGTCCAAACTCATCGGCCCGATATCCCTGAACTTCCTTTAATAAATTTCAATCTACTTTTGTTCCGGAAATGAAATTCTTAATCGAACGGATGTTAATTTTGTAAACACATCGAATGGGACAATATACGTTGACAAAAAAGCATAGATCTATCATTTTTTTCTTTTTTTTTTCGCGGTATTGTTAGAAATTCGCAGAATAAACTAAATGTTGTATTTCTTATAGAAGAATTTCCGTCTTTTGTGGTTTTTAATTATACGAAGAGCAGCTTCTGTTCGAGATGAATTACTGAATGACTGTAGGAAAACGAAGATTTTAATTATAATCGAAATTCTTTTAAAGTATTTGTTGTTTAAACATTTCCTCATCTGTAACGAAATAATTGATATACATACAATACAAATGTAACTTTTACATCCGTTTTCCGTTTACAAATATTACAAATTTGATGAACGAATCTATTAATTTTGAGGAAATAATTTGTATTTTGATCATTTTCAAATTACGACAACATAGTAATTTATACAAATGTTTTTGTTTGATTAATTAACACAACACAATGGTATTGATTTGTTAAATGAAATTGGACTTATATTTATTTCGAAAAACAGGTAGATAAAACATAGTTTCTGTATTAGTTTTGAGATGTAAAAGAATTTTTTACCGAAATTATTTTTTTACATTTTTACACGGACAAAAAAAAGGAAATAAGACTTTTCTTGCATGTATATACTACTTTGTACAATAAGCTTGTGTGAAAAAGTGAAATATATACATAATGAAAATGTAAACTACAATTGTATTGTATATCAAAGCTATTTACAATTTATTAATAATGGTATAATGGCAGAAAACGTCTCACGTAGCTGAAAGATATAGGAAAGTTATAATTTATTAATAAGAACAGTATAACCTGTAATTGTAATTATAAAACCTAGTATCTTAAAAACGCATCACAGAATTCAGAAACTTGTTAATTAGATGGTGCTCCTCTGGTTTACGGTGAGGCTTTAGGCTTTAGTTCTTCAAAACATGGTCTAAGGAATATGGAGTTTTTCTTTGCCGGATTATAATATTCATGACCCTGTAATATAAACGTATTAGTATTAATCATTTTTCTTAGAGATGTTAAATTTAATTAGTATTATTTCAAACGAACATTCATTTCAGACATTATGTATAGAGATTAAAATAACTAAAACTTGAAAAGTATTATTAATATTTATAATTTTCAATCCCCTTTGGTCCTCTACATGATATAAAATATAACTCCATATTAAAATAATGCACTTAACAACCATATACAAGAAACATACTTTTGACCAATCATAAGATACTGCATATGCAAATATTTGCCCATTATGATTAAAGCAACAACGTGTAATTGGTTGTTCCATAGGTTCAGAAGACTTTAGTTTAGTTCTTGCATCTTTATCCCAAAATCCAAATGTGCCATCTCCTCCAACAGTAGCAACAGTACCATGAACAGGGTGAAATGCAATATCATTCACCTAAACATTAGAATTCAAGAAATTCAAACAAATTTTGAATACAGAAATTTGACCTTTAAAAAATTCATCGCGAGATTTAATTAAACCAACCGCATAAATATCTTGATATCCATTGGGAGTTCCATTTGTCCTATGACATTTGAAAGTGAAATTTTCTTTAGAGCTTAAATTCAAATGATGTATTGCCACACGACCCTCCGTACTACCGATTGCAAAACCAGTAGGAACCTTTTTCTTATCCCTAAAGATAGCAACGCATCTATACTGATATTTCAGACTTAATTCTACTGTTTTATATTCCCTAGGACTGCCTTCTAATTGGTAAACTATCAATCCACGTCCTGCAGTTCCTACTACAGCCATTGGATAGTCCTATAACAATTCAAAGCAGTTAACAATAGTTGAGACAATAGTTATGACTTAAAATGACTGTTACATGTACTTACAACATCTGCACAATAGCATCTTTCAATTAAATTTATAGTCATTGCTGGCTTAGGACATCTTAAATCCCAAAACTGCAAAGTTTAATTATGCATTATTATCTCTGCATTATAAAGAAATATTACATACAAGAAATGGCAACATACTCTTAGCGTTTTGTCCCAGGAACCTGTCATAAGGCATGAATATGTGCTTGCTTTGATCCAGTGGCAAGTTTTAATTGGTGCATCGTGTTGTGCAACTTGAATGCTCTGATTCGAAGCTAAGTCCCAGCACTTTGCTGTTTTATCGCAAGATGCCATAAACACTTTTGTTCCATCCTATTTTAAGCAGAAGTATACATTTGAAATACTGTTTCAATGAAATTATTCTTAGCAAGGTTTACTATAAAGTAAATAAACTTACATCGCTCCAACAAACATCTAGCACAGGAGCTGCCATAGATTGCATCGACTTGGGAACTGTTTTTCCAGATTGTTCGACCTCCCAACAGCGGACATTGCAATCCCACGAGCCAGCAACGAGAAAATTTTGTGGAATCGAGGCAGGACTAAATGCAAGACTGGAGACGGAATCGTCTGGAGGTGAAACAACCTCAAAATCTTGCATTGGATTTGATGATGTTGTAGTGCCGCTTCTTAATCCTCCGGTTTGATTGAACATCTTTGGATCACCTTCTTCTGAGAAAGCTTCGTTTCACACGTAAGGACGATGCCCTCAGCTCCGTGATTGAATTGTTTAATTCGTGTATAACAAATACTCAACACTCGCACGTGCGGTGTATTTGCGTGTTGTTGCGTGTCAAACAATACAAAATAGCGCTACCGTCTAGAAAACTGTAGAATGAATACTTCGTCTAAATTTTGGGATGGTAAGTTCATTCGTAGAAACGACGTAAGCAGATGGCGAAGCGGTCAACTCTATAATGCCTTTGTTCTCGAAGGGTCCTGAATTTGTGCCTCGAGAATGCTCGAGAACGAGCAAAATTTGCTTTATCCTAATATAAAAATATGAAACACTTTGCGCTGCAACAGTCTAATGCAAGTTGACGGTCATAGCAAATTGCTTCGTTATATTATATTGATACCTGATGAAGAATTTATGCCTTAATTGCAAAATTAAAGCGCAATTGGAAACATAATCTTTACTTCCTTTGTTTCTATTCTTTAGAAATCAATCAAACTCAGTATAAGATCGAAAAATTATTAAAATAATTGTTTGACAAATTTGTGTTTTAAAAAGACCGCCATGAATTAAATATTTTTAAATTCGATCCTAGCGCCATCTATACGAAAACGGCTCAAACTACTCAACGAGTTACCGATCGATTTTTTCGAAACAGGGAACACCCGCGCCATCTATCCGGAAAGGGTGGAAACTACTTACCGACTAGTTTCAGCCGCCTTCGTATAGATGGCGCTAGGATCGAATTTAAAAATATTTATGGCAGTCTTTTTAAAACAAGTTTTGTGCTAATTTCTAAAGAAAAATAGAATCAAAGGGAATAAAAATGGTGTCTTTTCAGTTGTAAGTGCGGACTGTGATAGAAGAGCCATCATAACTAATATAACAAAAGATTATTATTTATTTTCAGATTAAATGGGAGAATGTCCCAATTCAATGATCCACATTTAGCTTATAAAGTCATTCGCTTAGCGTCAGTCTGTTTTTCAACTTTATAATACTTAAATTAACAAAATGTCTAAAATTTGTATTATTTATTAACACTTATATCGTTGAGTACGGCTAGAAAAAAGTGGTAAGATACGGGCATGGATACAAAAGTATATGAAATTCTGGAAATAAGGTCAACAAGCGGTTTATAAATAAATCTTTTGTAAAAACATTCGTATTTCGGAATCCAAAAATATACTGACGACACAGTAATAATATCACGTGCATAATCTCGTCTAAAACGCTGATTTTCCTCACTAATTACCATTGTTTTGGCCGATGCCGTTTTCTAAAATCATCGGTTTAAGCGTGAAGACGAGCTTTTGGAGCGCTCATGGAACACAAACTTCTCTAAAATGATTGGCCTGTCTTACACCTCGTCTGTGATATAACTGTAATACCAGTATAATACTATTCATGACTTTTTTTAAATGTACACGTTATTTTTACTAATTAGTTTAAAGATATGCGACATAAAAAAATATTTTGCATTTTGTATGAAAAATAAATATTTCCTCTTGGGAGGAATGCTCTATCTCCCAATATATTCAGCGATATAATAATCGCAAATAACCAAAGTTTCATAGTCTACGACCGGTTCTTCTTGACCATTAACAGCTATATAACATGCTTGATGGTTTGGTTGTATTTTTCCTATATGATATACACCTTCGTGTAAGACACGGCCAATGAAAAGGGCATATCCGTCTTCGCTTTCACCAGCAGGAAGTGCATGTAATGGAACGCTACCTTCCCATGACTTTACCCAATTTATATCTTTACAACATAATACTTGAAATTCTTTTTTATCGTGGGCTGATCCGCCCCACGCAATTGTGCATAAGTTATTCCTAATACTTCCGGGTGTAACCGAGTCTCTATGACGAGCACGACCTATGTACAAACCATCTTCAGAAGCCATTATAGCATTTGGTGGAAGACCATATGATTCGTTATAATCTATCCAAAAATGAGATGTATCCATCAACTGTTGTCTGATAACTGTAGATGTACAAACTGATTCTGAAAGAGATAGACAGATAAATGAAGTTTCGTGCACGATAACATTTCAAAACATACCTTCTACTAAGAATTCACCGGTAGCTCCCCATGCTGTGCTCATTCCTATGTAATTTATGACAAATGGGTTTCTGTCTTTGTATGACAGAAAAACTTCCCCATCTCTACGGCCAACATTTAACAGTCCATCGCACGACCACCTGTTCAATATTCAATTAATAATATATAATTAATTAAAATCAAATTATATAGTTTCCTAACACATATTGCAATATGTGATGCAATATGTTTTAATATATGATTTCTAGTTAATTATATCAGATAAATAAATTTATTGCCTTTATTGATATTATATTATTGCTTCAAATTATATAGATTGCTTCAATTTCTTACTGTATCCAGAAATTGCACATATGTTGAGCATTTAATATGTTCCTTGTTTCAGCCTCTGCAACATCAGGTTCTTCGTTATTCCTTTTTATCGCTGACATTGTGTTTCCCCATCCTCCAATAACAATCTATAATAATAAAATATGTGTACTTCATATACCAAAGTTAAAAAGATTTCAAATAATTTAAGATTTTAAACTATACCTCGTACACATTAGAATCTCCACCCAAATGGGTACGTAAAGAAATTCTTGCATCATGAGCAGCTTGTACGCTTAAATTAAAACGGGACTTTGTGATGGGAAAATAACGATATTCCATACTGTCCGGAGTAATGATCCTAACTTAAAATATAATTATTATTGCATTTTAATGAAATTTAGTATTATTCATACATACTAAATATGAGAACATTGCAGCAACGATTAAATTTAATTTATTAATACAATCTATTGAATTCTTCTCTATAATATTGAGAGAAATATGCTTTTCTATATATGCAGTTGAATATTGATCAGGTTATTCTGATTATAACTGTTATCAAAGAATAGACATGATAGAACTCATATGTTGATATTTAATGTACTTACTGAAAGACATGGTTGATGGTTCTATTGGTATATACGTATTTTACAAGAAACAATAATAATCAACTGTAAAAGAGTGAAAAGCCACGACGAGATTTAAATCTCTTAATTTGTAACTGTGGTTATATTTTCTACATGATCTCATCGTATGGTAGATTGTCACATCCTGATACGATTGAACTTGCATACAGACGTAATATTCCAATCCATAGAATCGAACGTTTCTTTAATTGGCGGACTACCAGAATATAATACGCATGCGTTGCACACAGAACAATTATTGGCATGGATTCAAATTTTAAAACTGCGTAAACGAGAAAACGCAATTTTTATTTTAGTCAATTCTCTCCGCTTACCGCGTCGTTGAATACGACCGCATTTAAAAACAGTTTCAAAAGTCATCTGTCAGCAGGTCAGAGGATAGCGAAGTTATTTGTATCGCATCAACTGGTATTACCACATACCTTTTCCACTTTCGCGCCAGAAATCTATCTCGCCTTGAAAGTGTAATGTTAATGCATCTGGTAGCGTATCTTATTAGCCCTTCTTTACACAAACATGCTGCATTCTTTTCACAAGCTTTATTATTCATCGTCGGACTGAAAATAAGATGTAAAATAAAAATTAAGCAAAAACAATTAAATTCAAGTTATTCATTTGAATAATGATACGAATTATTAATATCTAATTTCTTTAATACATAAAATACTTCTAATCCTTTTTATCGTTAGCTTAGAATTTCTAACATGAACTGACATTGGCAGAGAAGTAACTATTAATGATGCAGAACGTCGCACGTATGTTTAGCGTACTTCACAGAATGCAAAATGTTTGATATGCAACATCAAAGAAGCGTCTACTTAGGATTAGTATAGCGTCCACTTTCCATTTTCATTTTACTTTCTTCGTGGTATACTAATGCTTTGCATTGTTACGGGCATACAACTTTTACCATTCGACAACTACTTAATGATGTATTAGAGAAGCACGGTTCGCATTTTAATATAGAACAAAATAAATAATGTTCTATTAAAAGTATCCTAGATCTTTATCATTTACGTATAGGAATTCAGCCGATTCAACTGCACTACCAACACACGTTTCAATGAGTACGTGTGCGCACGGAAAGTAGAAAGCATTGCAGAAGATAATGACAAGGATGCAGCGGTGTCATTCCGGTTTTCGTGTCAGAACACAGCGTGCGATCATCCCTACACATTCGTTATCCACATATGATGTATCTAATAACATCTGGATCATTGTATTTTGAAATAAATTAACTTATGAAATTATACTTCTACAATTTCATTGATGGATGCAATTTACAGAGAACAATTTGGATATCTTTTGTAAACCTAAGGAAAAAGGAAAATATTAAATCTGTTTAAATAATAGTGGAATTCAATTTTACCCAAAAGATCCGTCGAGGTGCTTAAGGGAGCCTCGAGAAACTTTCTTTCGAAGGAAAGCAATTGGTATTCAAGAAACCCATGCGTTTTATGCGGGATGTAAACCGACCAAGGTACTCGTACCGATGTTTAAGAATTTCGATCCCTGTACAGAGATATTCCCGGGCATTTTCTACATCCATGCTTTAAAATAGAAGCACGTCCATCCTCGAGCAGTTTCTCAGGACTCCTTTGATCAAAATGAGAAGATCGCGTGCTTGCACCGTACAGTTAAAAGGCCCTGAAACAATGACTTTATGTAATGATTATTTAACTCCATAAACGTGTCTATTAAACGGGATTAAGAGCGCTAGTTATTAAAGCAATGTTTTATTCATGTTGCTAATGTACTTACATCATGTGAACATATATTGTTCAAGTATTGTAATTAACATATTCAACGCGACGCATATTTTCCATCAGTTTGTATGAATTAGCCTGTGACTCATCAATCAGTCGGTTCAAGTTTAACGCGTTGATTAAATTTCTTAAAAATTCTTAAGATACTTGTTTCATTCTTACTCCAAGAAAATCCTGAAAAAGATGAAAGTTCAATGAACAAAAATACGAAATAAACAGTGATTTTGTATGATAATGAGCAGACATACTCGATTTATCGTTCTTCAAGATTATTATTATATTCTGAATCTGGACGCAAACGTAACATTGCTCTTCCTCCTCTCTCGAGCCTCGCCAAAGGAAAGTTATTCATCCACCGTAACAAATATATGTTAACCTTGGCAATGGTAATGCATAGAAATCGGGACAGCATTTTTACGAAAGCCTGCGTCGTACTGAGTACAGTGGAATCCTTCGAGCGAGCTAATTAAAATAAAAGAAGTCTTAACTGAGAGTTCACTCGTGTATGAAACGGATGGTTTATAAATAACATACAATTGCGAAAATATATGCTACAGTTTTTATAATAACACATAGAGTCAGGGAGACTATTGTCATTAAATTACAATCTTTATGGCTTTTTGTAACAAGAAACCCAATGTATTTTTAAAGCTACTGTAACATTTATTATTACCAAAAATATAAGTTAAATTTAAATTAAACTTTGTTTAGTATTTATTACAATTTTCTTCTGTTTCTTTGATTACATGGAAGACTTTGTACACGTAATAACAATCCCAGTATTACGTTCCAAGTAGCCATTTAAAGGTACCGTGAAAGGGATACTTTTCTACATGGATTAAAAAGTCTAATTACGCTAGGTAGGTCATGCTACTTATAGTTCACTGAATAGTCAGTCACACTGACCCATTGCTTTCCCCGTAAAAGTGAAGAGTTAAATCAGGTTGACTCTTTCTCCCTGCTCTGTATGGTCGGGTACCAACCAATGTCCTATCAGTATGTGCACATCAAGATCGCTTTTACCTTTTTGTGAGCGAGGAGGGATTCCTAGGAGTATAAAACAGTAAGGAGCCGATTCACGTGCCAGTATGTGTGTAGTTTCAATTTGATTGAGAAGACATTGGGGTCATTAAATATAATCCAATTGAAATCGGCCCACCCTTATCATGGGGAGAATCATTTCACTCGTGAGTAATCATCAACATTCGCTCTTTTTAAAACACATTTCATACATTTCTGATAATTCTTATCATTCATTTGTCATAAGTTTAAATATCCTTCATTGAAGAGGGTGTTTTTCACTTCCATTCTATTCACTGCAATAAAACATAGTAAAGATTAAATACATTAATTTTTTCTTCAGAAAAATAGTAAAATTAATAGCATTATAATAAAATACCGAATTTAATTTGGATCACAAAGGATCTTGAGAAAAATCTTGAGTGAAATCAAGGTCTAATTACTACCAAGTATTTGTAGAAGAAACGTCGGTTCTCAGAGCATTAAATCCTTATTATTAACGCTTTGTAGTGTCACAGTTCAGTTAACTCTTAATTAGCGTGATAATGTTTCGTGATTTAACTGGATAGATTATCTTCCATCGCATCGTGATTATTCATTTATGGTGAAACTGTTCTACTTATAGAGCGCGGTAATCCTCTGCTGCGTCCTACTAGCACGAGCGGAACCTCCAGTTACCAGTACGTATAGTAATTGCATTTCTTCTGTAAAAGTTGTTAGAAAATAATTGTGTGTTTTTATGAAGTCTAATACTTCCTTCCCTGCTTTAATAAATTATTTTTTATAATTCTTTTATCTTATAATCAAACAAAATAATTATTGGTCCATTGTTAAAATAATGTATGTCCATTGTTCTTCATTCAATTCATTGTAGGCTACTCCATTACCGGGGATAACAATGGATACGAATATAATAGCAACATCATCAATGGGGCCTATATAGCAGGCAAAGAAGGTCACAGAGAAACTGCAGACTTTTACAGTGGAGGGAATAATGGACACTCATTGACCACCAGCAGGAACCAAGGAAATCTCGAAGAAAGTTTAAGAAGCAACTCTTACGCGTTTTCTCCAACTTCCCATAATACTGGCTACTCAGAGTACTCTGGTAGCACTCGAGACAATCTTGCTAGCAGCCCCTATCTCGTTAGCAATCCAGCTCAGTCCAATTACGAGACATACACCAGCAGCAGCGTTAATGGTGATTCAAATTTTGAGAGTTATACTCAGGGCACCGATCAGGCGAGTTCGGATTTCAATCAATTCTCCAGCAAGCCAAAGACTTCTGCCTTCATGAGATTTGCTGATAGTCTTCCTGGTGCTTCTAGTACAGTTGGTTACTCTGAATTAGGTTCTGAGGGTTCCTCCTTCAAAGAGTACTCTGGTGATTCCTTTAGAGGTCACACTTCACAGAGAGGATACATGGATGGTGATCAAGTCTTCCATAGAGAGCCTTCGAGCTCTTTCAATAGCCCTAGTCATGATTATTCCTATAGCCAACAAAAGGATGGTATGTTTGGAATGGGCGGAGGTAGTAAATACGTGAATGACATATATCCATTCCACTCTGACACACGTTATGTAAGAGGAAATCATGGAGCCATGGGATCACCTGTATATGTATCAAGCTCTGCGCACAGCCCCTTCAGTGGTATGAGAGGAAGCTCTGGTCCTTACGGTTCAGGAAAATATAGTAAATATAACAAGTACATGGGTGAATATACTCCTGGTGGAGGTTTGAATTATCTTTCCAAAGATCAAGATGTTGATTACTTGTTCAGCCATTATGGTAAAGGCAGTGGAAAACTGGTACCGTTCAAAGAAACCAGACCAAGCAGTTATGGTAGCCAAGCTTATGTTGCAGGACCATCTTATATTAATAAAATCATTGGAATTCATAAAAGCAAACCGAGTTATATGAGCTATTCCAATGGCTCTCCTGTTGGCTATTCTTCAATGTCTAATTTACATGGTAGTTTCAGTGGTAACAGCTATAGTGATAATCCTTTGTTAAGAAGGTACCGAAGTAGTAATTATGTACCTGGACATCCTAGCATATATTCTGGTTATTATTGATGGTTTACGTGCGATGAGTGTGATGATGACGTATTATGTTCTGTATATATTTATTGTATGAGATATTTAAACTTAATTAAAAACATGATTGTTATGCGTTATTTAAAATAAAATTATTAAAAAATTTATAAAAGGTATTCGTCTTCTTTATCATTCTTCAAGGCTTGAATCAAGGTGGGGTCCGTGGAAGTTTTGGCCTAGATAAGAACGCTTCTTCCGTGTCAAGTTCTGTTTCTCGTCTCCATGTATCATTATGATTTACAGTTTCATTCCCACTACTAC